TTTTCTCCATAAAACATGAGTTCACCAATCTAGACTGTGTGGTGTTCGCAATTGTGCTCGAGCTCTTGAAGTTTAAGTCTGGTACGACCCATGTATAGGGCCGATCCATATATATTGTTTTCATGGTATGCTCTATCCTCGACCATGTGTCTATACTTATATGCATTATAATAATTAAGTTTTTACCTATTCGCAGCACCAAGATAAAATACAGTCATAAATGCACCCAATATTTTATTTTGACTACCTGATAAAATACTACATTTGAATCAACTACCACTGATGCCACAAATAATAAGTATATCTCTAAATCATACATACAATATTTCAAACATCACAAATATTAAGATTAAATTAATTATTATAAAAGAGTAAAAATTGTATAATGAGGTTAACTATAACTCATTTATATGTTAATGCTCTTAAATTGGTCAACACATCCAAAAATGGCTAAATGAACATCACATTAAATCCAATATCGTCTCATTATTGTCGGTTCCATTCATGCCAGATTAGCAAGAGGTTTAATATTTAGCAATTAACCAGGCTAAAATTTTAGAGAACCAGTCACCTATAGTTTGTACAAAATATTATTGTTTCGTAGTTGTTCTGAAAATTTATATTAATTTAAAGAATTCTACATCTCTTTTGCATAGTCAATATTGTAATCCGATATGCAATATTTCAAGCACTGAAATTTGTGTTGCAATTTTAAGATTACCCGTCATTTTATAGGTTATAAACAATTATAAATCACGTATTAAATTTTGCTTTTCAAAAGACTTAATAGGCTAGCTAACCGTGATGGAAAATTCCTCTGCTTTTCAAATCTTCGCTATGTGTATGGTTACAATTGAAGAAGATAAACCAAATTATTATATCTCATAGAAAGTAATTAATTGTGAAATCGAAACTGAAGTAACATTGATTGAAACATTAAATATTAAATTGTATGTATGGTACAGTTTAGATAGAATACATGTGTGTAGCCAAAATATGGGTCTTCGTGACATATATAGTAATTTTTTTGACAAATCTACACATAATATAAAGATAAATTTGGCGCTATGACGAAAAAGAGGTTCGTAGAATCACTCTCGGGTTACAAAATTTAAAATGACTCTTATTTTATAATTTTAGCATTATATTATGTGTAGATTTGGTCAAAAATGACTATACTCGTTACAAAGGTCCATATTTTGGTTACACTTCTGTATTTTGTCTAAACTTATATAAACTAAACTACACATACAATTTAATATTAATGTTTGAATCAATGTTACTTGAGTTTTGATTTTAGAACTAATGTATTTCTATAAAATATAAATAACTTAAGATAAACTATAAATATAGAAGCATCATCACCGAACATATTCCTAGAGTTTAATAAAAAAAAATAATAAGCACAATGTAGTCTAGTTGGTTATAATGTTCTTTTTTCATTTAAGTGACCAGAGTTCGAACTCCAATGGTAACATTTTTAATATATAAAGATGAAGTGAGTGCAATGATAAAAATGACCTTCCTAGAATCACTCTCAGGCCACGAAATTTGAAATGGAAAATTCCAACCCACGTTTTGCCTTTATATATATTGTAGATTTGGTACCACATTTCATTTTTAACTCGATTTTTAAAAAAATTGCACAGAAGAAACGAGTTCATCAAAATTTATTGGTTCTACAAAATTCTAGGGGATTTTTCATTGCCAAATAACCACCCCATATCACTGACTCAACCACCACTACACTTAATTTTAACTATAGGCAACGATGAAATGAGGTAAATGACAGTTAATAGATTTATACTATCATGTATATAACTATTTGCGGTATGGTATATTCATAACACCATGGTACTGATGACACTGAATTTATAGTGTTTATCACTCCCGTAGTTGATACACTTTCACCTTCTATAAATGAATCTTCAGTACTTTCTCTTGTATTTTATATCTAAATCGTAACTATTGGATCAATGAGCATTTAATAGACATAGGTTGTGTTTTTTTTTTATTACATGAACCTGTGGTAAACTCATCAATCAGAATCGACAGCTACATCATTCAGTCTAATATGATCAACTAAGTAGATTGGGGGCCTGTCGAGCCAAACCACGCGCTCATCCCATCTTGTACGTGCATGTGCCATGATATGCACAGCTTCGTTCGCCTCCCTGTACACATGAGAAAAACTCCCTTGTCGTTCGTCCACCAATCTTCTTATGTTTCTGCATATCATCCCAATCTCCGATCTAGATGAAGCTTTCTCCGTCAACAGTTGCACAAGTTGTAAACAATTCGTCGCCATTATTGGGTTTTGGACATGAAATTATTGAACCAACTGTGCTCCCATCTCCAGAGCCATTGCCTCAGCCATATCCACCGTGAACTTTCCCTTGACTCTCTTTGCCGCAGCTAGAACAAAAGACCCATTCTCGTCCCGCATCACCACGCCCAGTCCGTTGCCTCCTTCCTGGAATATCCCAGCATATGTATTTACCATTACTCGACCAGTCGGAGGCTTCCGCCACTTCTTGTCCTCAATAACACGCTGGATAACTGCTCTCTGTTCTTGGTGTTCTCGGTAGTCATCTAGGAAAATTTTTGCCCTCTGCACTATTTCCTCTTCCGCCGTTTTCAAACCATTGAATAATTGAGCATTACGCTCCTTCCACAAGAACAAGAGAAGCACACTCCACTCTTCGAATCTTTCCTCCCCTGCTTTCTCCCTAGCCTTCTTCAACCATTCCACTGTCGTTCCCGCGCCATGCAGCATATACAGATTTGCACACTGAGATCGGCGCCATATCCTCGATCCCCACGCACACTCCACGAAAGCATGCAACTGTGTTTCCCTATCATCACATAACGGACATTTCTCGCTCCACTTGTCAGACTTTTTACTCACCCTGTCCCCTGTAGGCCGAATATCTTGAGCGAATTTCCACAAGAAGTGTCGCACCTTGGGGGGAACAGTCATACCCCACGGCTGCTTCCAAAACCCTCCCCCGCTTGTCCCCTGTACGCCCTTTTGTGCCATTGATTGCTCCAACCATACCCGATATCCTTCCTTTACCATATACTCCCCACTACAAGAGTGCTGCCAAATCAATTCGTCTGATTCTCCTGATCGAATCGGGATCGCCCTGATTTCTTGACCCATCTCGGTTGGAAAAAAAAACTCTCCAAAACATTCATATCCCACTTGTCCTCTCCCTCCTCAAATAAATCGCACACCCTCGCATCCACGGGGAGGCCCATCGGCGCCGAGTCCACATAGTGCTCCTCCGTTGATGGTACCCATTTATCTCCCCATACCCGTACCTGTCCTCCATTTCCGATGCGCCACCTTAGGCCAGCTCTTAGGAACTCCTGCGCACTAAGTAAGCTGCGCCAGGCGAAGCTTGGCCTATAGCCCAGCTCTACGTCCATGATGGAGTCGTGCTTATGGTACTTTGCTCATAGAATACGAGCTATGAGGGACTCCGATTGATGAAGCAAGCGCCATAGTTGTTTTGCAAGAAAAGCCATGTTGAGACCACAGAGCTCTCGTAAGCCCATCCCGCCCACTTCCTTCGTCATTACTAGTTTGTCTCGACTTATCCAATGAGCCTTTCGCGCTTCCCCTCGCTGTCCCCACCAAAACCGTGTGATCAAGCTCTGCACCTCATCAATCACACCTTCTGACACCTTAAAGACTGACATCGCATAGTTAAGTTGAGCTTCTGCAACAGATCTAATGAGCACCTCTCTCGCTGCTACCGAGAGTGTTTTTTCCTTCCATCCCTTCAGCTTCTTTTTAAATCTTTCAACAATATCCCCAAACAGCTCCTTTTTCGATCTCCCCGCCACTGTCCCCAAACCGAGGTACTTATTATGTTTCTCTACCACCTTCATACCCAAAATACCACCTATCTACAGGCGCCGGTGGTGTGACACGTTCTTACTAAAAGACACATCTGACTTCTGAAAGCTAACCTGCTGCCCGGATTCTTTTTCATAGTCTCGAAGTATTCCCTTCCGCATCATACTCGCTGGAACGGTCGCTCTAGTGAAGAAAATACTATCATCTGTAAAGAACATGTGTGATATTATCGGAGCTCCCTGAGCTGGTTTAAAGCCATGTAATCGTCCATGTTGAATTTCATGGGAAGTATAAACCGATATCCCTCCGCACACAGCAGAAAGAGATATGGTGACAACGGATCCCCCTGCCTGATACCTCTTCCTGGAACAAAGGTTTCTCATTTTTGCCCGTTGACAAGGACCGCATATGATACCGTCGTCACACACATCATAACAATCCTTACCCACCTTTCATCAAACCCCATACGTCGCATAATTCCCTCCAAAAAAGGCCATTCCACCCAATCGTAGGCCTTGGCCATATCAATCTTAGCCGCTAAGTATCCAGGTTTCCCTTTAGTTCTCTTGCTCATAGTGTGAAAACACTCGAACGCCGCCATAATGTTGTCTGTAATACAACGCCCCGGCACAAAGGCTGACTGAGCCAGAGATATTACCTTGTTTAGTAGTAGTTTCATCCGGTTCGCCAATACTTTCGATACCAGCTTGTAGATCACATTGCAAAGAGAAATAGGGCGAAACTCCTGCGACATACTCGGCTCCTTTACCTTTGGTATCAATGCAATGACCGTATGGTTTACCTCCTCAGGCATTATTCCTTCCTCAATTATCTGTTTAATAGTGAAAAACACATCGTTTCCAACAGTTTCCCAATACTGCCGGTAGAACATCACAGAGAGCCCATCCGGACCTGGGGCTTTGCGTTTCCCATCTGTTTAACGGCTCGCACCACTTCTTCTCTCTCAACAGGTTTCAACAGCATCTCATTATCCTCCCTCGAAATTGCCTTTTTCACAACGTCCAAAACCGGGGTTTGGTTCGGTAGAGTACCCGCCACAAACAACCTTGAGTAGTAGTTTCGAAGACACTACATAACTATGTCTGTTCCCACAAACCATTCTCCACTCTCGTCCTTAAGTTTCTGAATCATATTTCTTGTGGAAGAAGTTCGTATTTTGATCGCCCTCCTTCAACCACTCGGCCCTCGACCTCTGCTGCCACTTTATCTCCTCATTTTCTTCGACCTTGGCCAACTCCCCATCTAACTGCCGAATCTGAGTTAGCACCAGATCCGTCTTTTCTCTTCTCTCCAGGGCCCTTAATGCCTTGCGAATTTTCTTTTTCTGGTCAGCGAAGCGTGGGAAGGTTCCCCCTACTCCATTCCTCCAACTTCGACCGACAGGTTTCAATTTTATCCCTGATGTTCGGAGATTGCGCTTGCCATGCATCTTTCACAGCTTCTGCACACTCGCTATGCTTCACCCATAATGGTTCGAGTCGGAACGACCACCCCCACCTCGGTTCCTCATCCTCTTCCCCTCTCGTGTCACAAATAATGGGTCTATGATCCGATCTTGTGCGGTCTAAATGTGTTACTCTGAAGCTTACAAAAGTATTTTTCCAGCTCTCCGAACCCACGAACCTGTCTAACCGTTCCTCTATAAATGTTCCTTCTCCACGTCGATTTTCCCAAGTGAAATTATAACCTCTGAATCCAAGGTCGTGAAGATCCACATCTATAAGGCACTCCGCAAAATTGATCATGTTATTCCCCTGATCATTACGTCCTCCACTTTTCTCAGTATACGATAGAATCTGATTAAGAAAGTAGCTCTTACTGTGTATAGATGGCAGGTTAAATTAGGTTTATTAATAAGAGAAATTCTTGTAGCTACGTGATCAACAGGAGTCATCGATGGAGCCTGCAGGCACTCTAAGACTAAGAAGCATTTATCTATTACGTTGGAGATTGGTCCCAGCCGGTCATTCTCCATAAGGTGAGTGTAAAGGGGGTAAATTCTACGCCTTACGGTTTTTCAAGTATTTGCTTTGAGTATTTTTAAGTATTGATTTACATGATGTGCATGCCGTATTTGATTCATGTTTGATATTACATGATTATGATTGATTATTTGTGCTTCGCTCGAGCTATGATTTGAGGTGATTTGGTGCTATTTACCTTAAAGCGTTATGTTGAGTTATTGTTAAAGTTTAAGAAACAAGTTCTTTTTAAGAAGTAACTCACATTCAAGAAGGTGAAGTAGTTTTAAGTGTTTTTAGTCACTAGCGCCAGTCCGTTGCCATATGAGATTTTCAGATAGAGCAGCAGTTATGCTCTTGAGAATCGTGGTGAAGAGCCACCACGATAAGTTTAAGATGTTAGGGGGATGAATCGTTACGACTTACCTAACCAAGTTTAAGTTTAAGGAAAGCCTGGATGGCTTCTCATATGTATGAGTTGGCAACCGGACTAGCTAGTGAGGGATCCCCGTGTCAGTCAAGTGTTTAAGTCAAGATTTGAGTTTTAAGAGAGGAGAGTAATTTCAACTCCCTTAAAGTTTTAAGAGTTAAGATTTTAAGATTGGAAGTACAAACAACTTCCACTAGTCAAAGTTAAGTGTTTAAGTAATGTACTCAAGTATTAGAAGTATTAAAACGTAAGGGCGTAGACTGACCCCATCTCACTCACCAGTTTGAGGAGCTAGAGGAGCAGTTAATGAGCAGTGAGTTCGAGGGCAGCTAGCTAGAGGAGAGCAGTATAAGCGTCACAGAGGATGCTTAGTCAAGGATTTCAGTAGCAACAACTTCAGAGATTATTAGGTATTTACATTTACGATTATGAGTATAGACTAGAGATTATTTTGAGTCAGATGGAGATTTTAAAGTTTGGGCTTAATTTGTCCACGTGTTAGGGCTTTGCTTTGAACTACAAGTGTGTGTTTTCAGTATTTTATATGTGAAAATTTTTCCTGCTTAAATTTAAGATTTGAGTATTTTATTTATCAAGGGCATTTTAGTAAAAGTAGTACTTGGCCGAGTTAGGGTGTTTCATATTGGTATCGGAGCCTGGTTTTCCTCTGTTCCTTGGTCTCCAAGGAATACTGGAATATCGGTCTCGGTTTTAAAGGATTTTGTTTTAAAGGAAAGGAAAACGAGTCAAGGATCTTCTTTTAAGAGTTTATAGAATCTCCAGTCTACTCAAATCATATTAAGGTGAACAACTATGACGACACGACACGAAGGAATGGTAGCCAGGGTGCGATTGTTTAAGAATAGGCGAGGACGCGATGTAGTTAACATGTCGTGGTTTGTCAAATGAGTGATTTAGGCATATGGTGATCGCCAGTAGGAAAGAAAGGATGAAAGAAACGTGACCAAACCAAGTAGAATCTCAAAGGCTCTCAAGACCAAGTATCTCATCGACATGATGGATAGTAGTTTTGCAATTAGTTAACCAACTACTCAGACGTTAGCAAAAGGATCATCATCATCAACCTAGAGAAGGAAGGAGGAACGTTGCAAGGGTCTGTGGAGGTAGAATCAAATGTGCGAGGACTTCAACTCCAAACACCAGTATAGAGGTGACAATTGAAAGGGAGTACCTCAATGATTTTGAAGGAGTTGAGAGAGTAGTATGAGGATTTTACTACTAGGAAACAAGTGGATGATCTAATAAACAAAAACAAACAACTGGGGAAATATGAATCTCCGAAGAAAGAGTTTCAATCACTAGATGGCAGTGGCTATAATGAAGGGAGGATGTTCAGTGTCCTTGACCCTAAGCAGTTGCAAGGTGGCAACTAGTCAAGAAACAAAAAGGTACAACGAGAAGTCCCTCAACTAGTTTTTGTGGTCGATGGCTCAACGCCATTACAACATAGTGACAAGGAGCAGTGAAAAGCTTAGACTTCAAGAGAAGCTAGGGTAGTGTAAATGAAGTAAATGAGGGAATAAGTAGGTTATAGGGAGTACGAAAGGACGTCAAGAAGTTAATAGGTCAAGGCGGAGAGGAGGCATGGTCCTTTACATATGACGACAAAGGAACCCTTATAGATAAAGTACGTCACTAGAGAAGATGGTACATCACCCTGGGGAGTTTGGCTGGTAGCAAGCCTTTAAAAGGAACATGACAAGCGTCAAGATGATCGAGGTAGAGAACGAGCTTGGATCAAGAATAACAATGTGCTAGTGAACAATGTCGAGCTAGAAAGAGGATGTATTGGGATACGAGAGACTCTACAAAACTACCCAGATAATGAAAGAGGATGTATTGGAATAACAATGTAACTCCCCGAATTTTGGGTTCAGGTTCGACCAGAATACGTGAACGGTTGGGTTATCGGTTACGTATAAAGGATTACGATCGCGGGCTAAGGATAATAACACTAATAACATAATTTTTATTTAAAAAAATTTAAAGTAATGGGACCGGAGGGCCGAGCGGCCACAATCCCAAACCCCTCCCCATTATTTCTTCTCCCCAACCCTTTTCCGAGAAGAAATTGGCTACGATGAACCCCAAAAACCATAGAAAATGGCGGTTCACATGGGAAGCTCAATCTCACACCCCGAACCTAAAGTTGTTCGTCTTCGACTTGGGAGATTGGGGCTTTGCAGAATGGTTTGACTGAGAGTCTGGATTCGGTCACCATTTGGAGGAACCCTTCCACCATTGCTTCATCGGTCTCTGGGAGAATGGATGGATGATGATTCGAGTTGTTGTTTTGTGAGTTCCAATCACCATCATCTCCGTCGTTTTCCCCACCACAAAGCAGCCGCACTCCCCAAACGCTTTACTCGACCAAAATCCCCCAAAGTAGTCGGCCGAAGGGAGAGGCAGTAGCAGGGATTAATTGGAAGGCCTGGCGGTGAGTGATTTGTTGATTATTATACATGTTTGTCTTTTTTTTATATGGAGTAAAGCGAAGGCATCAAAAACTGTGGAGCGTTTAATTATTCTAAGAACTTAGACTACCTGAGTGATGGTAGCTTCACGTCATGGAAAGATAGGTCAATAAGGATTTGATTTTTGTGGGGTGTGTATTTTTATACACGTGTGTCCTGGATCATTGCTTTGGTGGATGGTTAGAGGCATTTCTAGTGAATTGGTAGGGAAGGCATACCTAAATGGACAAAATTGAGAGGGAGTGGGGTTTCATGGACATGGAATAAAGGGATGGTGGTGAGTAGCTACGTAGATAACCCAAAAGGGTCTTTGGTAAAGGCTGCAATTGGATCAATTCTATTAAGAAAGTAGCTCTTACTGTGTATAGATGGCGGGTTAAATTAGGTTTATTAATAAGAGAAATTCTTGTAGGTACGTGATCAACAGGAGTCATCGATGGAGCCTGCAGGCACTCTAAGACTAAGGAGCATTTATCTATTACGTTGGAGATTGGTCCTAGCCGGTCATTCTCCATCAGGTCAGTTTAAAGGGGTAAATTCTACGCCTTACGGTTTTTCAAGTATTTGCTTTGAGTATTTTTAAGTATTGATTTACATGATGTGCGTGCCATATTTGATTCATGTTTGATATTACATGATTATGATTGATTATTTGTGCTTTGCTCGAGCTATGATTTGAGGTGATTTGGTGCTATTTACCTTAAAGCGTTATGTGGAGTTATTGTTAAAGTTTAAGAAACAAGTTCTTTTTAAGAAGTAACTCACCTTCAAGAAGGTGAAGTCATTTTAAGTGTTTTTAGTCACTAGCGCCAGTCCGTTGCCATTTGAGATTTTCAGATAGAGCAGCAATTATGCTCTTGAGATCTTCGAGACAGAGCAGCAGTTATGCTCTTGAGACTTTTAAGATGAGCAGCAGTTATGCTCTTGAGAATCGTGGTGAAGAGCCACCACGATAAGTTTAAGATGTTAGGGGGATGAATCGTTACGAGTTCCCTAACTAAGTTTAAGTTTAAGGAAAGCCTGGATGGCTTCTCATACGTATGAGTTGGCAACCGAACTAGCTAGTGAGGGATCCCCGTGTCAGTCAAGTATTTAAGTCAATATTTGAGTTTTAAGAGAGGAGAGTAACTTCAACTCCCTTAAAGTTTTAAGAGTTAAGATTTTAAGATTGGAAGTACAAACAACTTCCACTAGTCAAAGTTAAGTGTTTAAGTAATGTACTCAAGTATTAGAAGTATTAAAACGTAAGGGCGTAGACTGACCCCATCTCACTCACCAGTTTGAGGAGCTAGAGGAGCAGTTAATGAGCAGTGAGTTCGAGGGCAGCCAGCTAGAGGAGAGCAGTATAAGCGTCACAGAGGATGCTTAGTCAAGGATTTCAGTAGCAACAACTTCAGAGATTATTAGTCATTTACATTTACGATTATGAGTACGGTCTGTAGATTATTTTGAGATTAGATGGAGATTTTAAAGTTTGAGCTTAATTTGCCCACGTGTTAGGGCTTTGCTTTGAACTACAAGTGTGTGTTTTCAGTATTTTATA